GGTTTGCCGAGTGGTTTAAAGCGGCACATAAGTCATTGTAGGCAATGTGTCACTTCCTGCCGAAGCGCTCCAGTGCGGCGGATGTTTCAAGTCGCCAGAAAGCTTCATCCGTTCAGCAGCCTGCCAAGCCAGAGTGATGGTGGACCCTGAGCCTCAGAAGCCGTTCTGTTCCAAATGCAAAGAGGAAGAGGAGAGGGTCATTTATCGCCAAGGCTGGAACTCTCTTGAAGAAGTCTTGCGCCCACTCACCATCCCTCCGCTCAACACCAAGCGATGGAAGCTCCATTCAATTTGGGTTCGTCCTCCCCATTCACCGCATGCCCAAACAAACTACTGCTGTGATAGCGGACCAACATACTCAAAAGAGAATTTCTCCTCTCCTAAGTGGTCCAAAGTGCTTGCAAAGGGAGCTGTAGAAATGGTTCCTCTAACAAACAGCAAGTTGGGCTTTTACATCCGCTACTTTCTCATTCCCAAAAAAATGGCGGGCTCAGGCACATTCTTGATCTCAGGCATCTGAATTGCTCGCTCATGAGACGGTTGTTCAAGATGATGATTTTAAAACAAATGCTCGTGCAAGTATGCCCCGGGGACTGGTTTATATTGGTGGATCTGAAGAATGCATACTTTCACATCTAGACAGCCCCCCATCACAGATGAGATTCACTTTCGAGTGAGTGGCCATTCAATATACAGTCCTGCCATTCGGACTGTCTCTGGCCCCACTTTTTATCCACTTTTACAAAGTACATAGATGCAGCTCTCTCCCCTCTGAGACAGATGGGAATCCACATCTTGAATTACCTTGATGATTGGCTGGTTTTAGCTAGATCAGATCAGGAACTCATTTCTCACAGGTCGCTGCTGCTCAGCCAACTGGAGGGGCTTGGGTTGAAAATCAATTTAGCCAAGAGCTCTTTGTCTCCCAGCCAGCTAGTAGTCTTTCTGGGGACAGTTATCGATTCTGCCCAGATGCGGGCATGGATTATGCCCGAACGCTCCCTGATAGTTCAGCGGCTAGCGGCGTCATTCAAGCTGGGGACTTCACGTCCCCTCAGGGCTTTCCAGAGGATGCTCAGCCTCATTTTGGCCACTTCCTCTGTGATTCCTCTGGGCCTGCTTCACATGCGGCCCCTCCTGTATTGGCTCAAGGTCCATGTCTCGTCCCACGCTTGGGCACCTGGGACTTTTTCATCTCAGGGTAACCCACCGCTGCACCGCTAAAAACCTTCCTGCTGGCCTTAAAGGGGCACCACATCCTGGTCTGTTCGGACAACATGGCGATGGTAGCCTTTATAAATCGTCAAGGTGGTTTCAGGTCACGCTCCCTCTACAAGATGGCTCAACGCCTCCTTTCCTGGTGGCCCCACTCTGGAGGAATCAGACGTGGTTCCCCAAGTTGATTCAGCTGCTATCGGCTGCCCCCTGTCAGATACCACTGAGGAAGGACCTCCTCTCACAAGTGAGGGGCATGATTTGGCATCCCCGGCCAGAGCTGTGGAGCCTTCATGTTTGGCCCCTCGATGGGAGTCTTTGCAGCTCCCCGTGAGTGTAGCTAATACCATTTTGGAGGCTAGAGCTCTGTCTACAAGACGTCTCTACGCCCTTAAATGACTGGTGTGTAGCACGGAATGATGGCCCGTCATCCTGTGACATATCCAGCATGCTAACTTTTCTACAACATCTATGAGACAAGGGATGCACCCCTTCCACGCTCGAAGTATATGTGGCAGCTATCGCGGCGAACCTTTCACTCATGGCTAGCCAGTCAATCGGCAGAAACAACATGGTGGTTAAGTTTCTGAGGGGAGCTCGGAGATTGAATCTGCCTCGCTCTCATACTGTGCCGACTTGGAACTTATATTTAGTCCTCAGGGCCCTATGGGGCCCCCCTCGAGCCACTCCAGTCAGCCAACTTGCGGCCCCTGTCGCTTAAGACCACCCTCATTCTGGCTTTAGTGTTGGGCAAGTGAGTAGGTAACCTGCAAAAAAACCTGTTTATGTACTTAGGTGCAAGTAATTTCCCCCTTGTTTTCGTCCTCAGAATTGCTCAAACTACTGCTGCATTTTATATATATTTTTTTTATTTACTTATTTATTTTTATTGCTTTTTTATTTTTCTTTATTATTTTTCTTTTTTTATTTGTTTGTTTTTTTGTATTGTTCTTAGTGCTACCGTTCATAATTGTATTTTGTGTTTGACTCAGAGAGTAAGGAAGTTTTTGACTAATTTAATTTTGATCTCTGTTAATAGATTTAAACAATTGCTGTTCTATTGTCTTTTTCATTTGTGTATCTCTCTGATTGAATAGCATCACTAAAAAGAGTTAAACTAGAATCCACTCACCGCTCAAATTTTTGAGCGGTGGGTGGATTAAAAAAAAAAGTTTTTGTGCAGCGCTTTTTTTGTACGAATCCATTATAACACACAAAGTGTAGACATTATGAAAGATTCATTGTGCATATATTCATTGTATTATAACAAGAGTTTTGTGAGATTGAGATGAACTGAGATGTCAGCTTTTTAGTGATTATAAAGGGAGTGCTCTTTGCTCGCATTCTGCCATGCCATGCCCGCGGCAGCCTATGCTTGTTTTTCTGTTAAAAAAGGCAACATGGAACTTACTATTTTATATAAATTTCATGGATGTACTGAAAAAAGGCTACTTATATAGGCTATAGGCTTTTATGCGGGCTTTTGCGGGTGGGAGCGGGACAAAACATGAATGTTGTGGGCGGGAGCGGGACGAGATAACATATTTCTGTGGGAGCGGGTGGGTGCGGGACAGAATCCTGCGGGAGCGGGACTGAAAAATGTGTCCCTCTACTTCACACTTTGGTAACTTCACACTTCAAAAGTCTCTACTTCACACTTTGGTAATTGATTAGATGATGGAAAGTGGTGTATAAATGAGAGGTCAATAAGACCACAAATGTGTATTAAAAAGTGAATTTGGATCTCATAACTTTAAAAATGCAAACTTTAAAATATACAAAATCAGAAGATAATACCATGGTGGGCTAATTTGATAGACACATTGGCACTAGATGATATTCATATTCATGTATCATAGTATTTACATGTTACTCTAAGATGTTTTGAAGAATCTGTGACATAATGTGTCAGGTTTAAAATATATATTGTTTTATAAAGATTTTTTTTAACAGGGTTTTTTTTTTTTTTACAATGACTAGACTAGAAAACACATGCCCCACTTACTCAGACCTATTTAATACTAATTAATTTGCTCCTTTTTTAACACTAGACCCAATTAATGGCATGCTGGGCCACACTAAAGCTGTGTCACAGGGAGTAGGCTCCACCTGGAGACAGACAGATGGAGAGAGGTTTGCAATGTGACACTATATGATGTATGTTAAAGGGATAGTTCACCCAAAAATGAAAATTCTGTCATTAATCACTCACCCTCATGTCGTCACCCCCAAACCCGTATGATCTTTGTTCATCTTCGGAACACAAATGAAGATATTTTTGCTGAAATCCAAGAGCTTTCTGACCCTGCATAGACAGCAGTGCAACTGAAATGTTTTATGGCCCAGAAAGGTAGTAAGGACATCGTTAAAATAGTCCATGTGACATCAGTGGTTCATCCGATTTCTTCTCTTCCAGCTCAGTCTCAGCCGCCATTCTCGAGAGTACCGCTACGCATGCGTGTGGTGCTGCTGACACAGAAGCTGGCGTTCTGATATAGAACACACATGCGCTGCACCTTGTTTACAAGCAGAGGAATGCACACGCATGTGTCGTGGTACTCTCGTGGAAGGCGGTGGAGACTTACCCGGAAGGGAAGAAATCATTGAATAAAGTTGTTATTTTTGTTTTCTTTGCACACAAAAAGTATTCTCGTAGCTTCATAACATTACAGTTGAACCAATGATGTCACATGGAATATAAAAAAAAAAATTTTTAACACATTTTTTACATATCAAATACAGAAAATAACCATAAAACTGTTTTTAAGAATGCCTTTTTTGGTAAATACACCATATCTGCTGTTCATTCAAGCAACGGCTTTCCATCTTTTTACCATTACGATACCATAAATGCATCAGAACTGAAATACCTTTAAACTCTAATGCCATTCACTGGAAATGACCTTTAAACACTGCACTGTTTTCTTCATCCACCCAGATCAGAAGCGCTTTAGTTGCACTGTCTGTGCGATTTAACAAAATTATTTGACTTCTGAGCAACAGGTGACGATCACATAGAATACATTTTTGCTTTTTAAAACATGAGATGCCATAAAAATATATCCATCTGCAGAACCGCAGTTCTGATGATTGGAAAAGGAGGCAGGGTCTCAAGACACGTTTTTTAAATATGCAGTGCTCATGTGCAAGTTAATAGAATCAAACTTATGCTATAGAGGAATTGCATTTACATCCAAAACATTGCATTTGATGTCAATTAAAACTGTATTAGGGTGTTCATTGCATTTTGGATGTAAAGAATAGCACAGTACTGAGCCTATTGGCTTGCCATACATCTAGCACATGTTTACATAGAAAAATAATTAAAATGCCCAGTGGAACACAAAAACACATTCTGTGCGAACAAGACTTTATTGTAAAAGGGCAGAGTAATTGTATCATCTCTGTCACAACTTTATTATTGGCCCAAAGCACACTTCTTAAGTGCGTCTCTAGGCCTTTGTAGTTGCTCATACCGGTAATCTAGTGCTTTGTTCACTCATAGCATCAAAACTGTAATTTACTGGTAATTTTCCAGAAAGGGCTGTATGCGTGAAAGCCCCCGTTGACTTTAAAGTCTGTCACTGAACAATTCTAAGGTTTAAAATTTTCATATTCATCCTCTACTGCTTCAAAACAGAACAAATTCCTACCATATGCAGGATGTTTTTGTTATTTTTTAATTGTTTATTCTGCTGCCCAGTATTCTCATTTATGCTTGGTGATTTGCATTGTTTCCAGGTCCTCATGACTCTAATCTTGACCGGTTTCATCGTTTTTTTTAGGTCTCAACAAAGGAAGTTGTTACCGAATCAATCATTTCCCAGATGACAATGATTATGACACTGACAGCTCTGAATATCTCTTACGTGAGTGTCTTTCTCTTCAGAAATATTAGTGTTACTGTCTATATCTCAATGTTCTTATCATGCACGTTTAGATATCTTGCTAAAGTAAAAGCCTTGTTTATATGTGTGTGTGAACAGGTGTTGTGCGCGCCTCAAGTGTGTTCCCCATCCTCAGTACCATTCTGCTGTTGCTGGGGGCGCTGTGTGTCGGTGTAGGACGCATCTACAGCAAGAGGAACAACATATTACTCAGCGCAGGGATACTATTTGTGGCAGCAGGTAAACTTGCTAATGACCACCTGCTAACTTGCACACGGGTTTTCAACTCACTTCAGATGCTTTTAGCACACTACTAAATTCAATTTGTTAACTGAATATAAATGTAATTTAATATAGGACAATTTCCATGCTCTGATAGTCCACCTTATCCCTGCTGTTACTGGCAGGTGCACTGGAACTGAGGGGGCGACAACTCCCACACTTTTTTAGCTGTTATTCAACTGAATTTAGTGGGTTGATATTGCTTGTTCTAAAAGTGCCTTCCTTGTATGGACTGTAATTCACTATAGTTTCATCACCCCATACATGTAAAGACAATGAAAAACTCTTTAGCAAAACAGTAAGAGAATGTGTAAAGTACTTGAGTATAGGCTAGATGGCATAGTGTGTCTGGGCGGGTCGTGCGTTCCCTAGATGCTGCATTAGCAGCTGTTGCTAATTACCACAATATATCAGAGTGCCTATGATATTTTAAAGGTCAAGATCCACACACGTAATTCCTGGAAAGCTATGCGTTAACATTCCTATTCATCTCAGTAGCAGTTTTTCAACCAGATGGTGATGTTACAGCATCTACCGGCAGGGGCTAATTGGACCATGCTAATGTAATGGAGCCCAGCTATGAAGAATTGTGCAGGTAGACCTCACTCCCCTGGCCTCAAGGCTAGAGGCTATGCTCTTTAGCGTCCTTGTTAGCATTCCCGCCACACATGACAGTTAACACTGGTTCAAATCCCACTCAGAGTGGTGTGGACCAGTTACATTGGTGCCATGACCCAAATAGGAGTGAGGTTCAGGGGGGTGAGTGACAAAGGCTAGCTAGTAAGAGCTGTGCAGGCAGACCTCACTCCCTTGGCCTCCAGAGGCACACTAGCGACTGGTGTTAGAGGCTGTGGTCTTTGTTAGCAGATGGCCTCCCATGCTGGTTGACATTGGTTCAAATCTTGGTGCCGTGACCCGGATGGGAATGAGCTTTAGGGTGGAGAGTGTAACAGAGGCAAGCTGTGCAGGTAAACTTCACTCCCCTGGCATCAAGAGGCACACCAGCAACTCGTGCTAGGGGCTGCAGTCTGAAGTATCCTTGTAAGCGTGCCCACCTCTCATGCTGGTTGACGGTGGTTTGAATCCCACTCATCGTGGTACAAGTAGGACCGGTTACACCAGGGGTAGCCAACCCTGCTCCTGTAAGGCTACCTTCCTGTATAGTTTATCTACTGTCTTTATTATACACACCTGAACCATCCAATCATGGAGTTCAGGATTACTTGAAAATTACAGACAAGTGTGTTGGAGCAGTTTTGGCTACCCCTGAGTTACACTAACCGGCCAAACCTTGATCCCTTGACATAAACACATACTGAAGACATTTGCAGCCTGTGCCAAGTGTCATGTCTACATTCGTATTCACCCCTGAGAAAATCTATTCCATTTAGTCTAAAGTCTGTCATCAGTTCTAAAGGATGCACAATATTGTGGCATTTTTGTTCTTGATATTACAGTAGGTCGACTAGTGATTACATCTGATGAGCTCAGTCTGCAGTGTTAAACTTTCAAAGATGGAGGTGTTGTTGACACATCCCAATCAGCCGAATCTAAAATCTTGGTGTTTGAATCCACGTGTATCCATACATTTATCCTTTTATAACCAAGGAAAAGTTTAATAAAGTCATAACTCTGTTATATTACTTAACAAGGTATTTCTCTTATGCTTTCCTGGCTCTGTTTTGTGTCTGGCAGGTTTGAGCAACATCATCGGTATAATCGTCTACATCTCCAGCAATGCTGGTGACCCCAGTGACAAACGAGACGAAGACAAGAAGAACCAGTACAACTATGGTTGGTCGTTCTACTTCGGAGCACTCTCTTTCATTGTTGCTGAGGCGGTGGCTGTTATGGCTGTCAGTATCTACATTGAGAAGAACAAAGAAGTGCGGTTCAAAGCACGCCGTGAGTTCATCAAGTCTACCTCGTCCTCTTCGCCGTATTCTCGCATACCCAGCTTTCGCTACCGTCGACGGCACTCGCACTCCAGCTCTCGCTCAATGGAAGCATCCCGTGAGGCGTCACCAGTGGGTATGAAGATGATGAGCTCGGTTCCCGTAGGAGAGATCAACATGTACACATTGACAAGAGACCCTCTCAAGTCAGGGACGGACAGCTCCTATAGCCCAGAGCACGATTCAGGATTCCTCCAAGTGCACAACTGCTTTACCAAAGACCTTAATGATGGTATCAACAGGAGGACAACACCTGTATGAGGTTACACACTGGAACGGAAGAGATAAAAGTTAAGGCCATACTGAATGGATAGCCATCAGGGCTCAGTGGCCTGTGGCAGATGCCAGTGGAAGGGAATCTTATTGGTGAAGCCAGTCAACCAATGACGGTGAAGAAGAAGCACTGTGTTAAGAGGGAAAGATTTCATCTCGACATTCAACAACCATTGCGAACACGCTAATTTGTTTTTCTTCTTGTGTTGCTTCTTACATATACACAGGAACTCTCAGAGAGACCCATCTCTCATCAAAGGGCAAGACATACAAATGTAAAATGAATGGTCTTTGGCAGTGCTTCAGATATTAAGGACTTTGAGTAAGCCAGTCCATTCCCTTGGTTGGACTCTCATTGTATACCAGTGTGATGATGACTCTCACAGTATGAGATGGTGCTAACGTAGGCTCACAGCTGAAGCCTTCCCATTATTGTGTGTTCAGTACAGACTCGAGCTGAATACTGAACGCCCTTGTTCGTGTTATATGTTTGTTGCCACAGTTGTCTAACCCTATTCAGTGTGCCTATCATCTTGGCAGTGTCAACTGCTCCGACTTTTTCTGGAGCCACTCCAGTTTCCTCTGTTTTCGTTGTTGTACAACTAGAAATATCAGTTGAATTACTAAATAATCACTGGGAAAATTTAGTTTAGTAGATTTATGACTACTAATTGTGTATAAACACCCTGCTGAAAAGACCAGCTTGGATTTTCATGATGTTCTCACTGGTTTGTTCTGGTCTGGTGCTTTCTTATCTGGCGAACCTGCTTAGACATGCCGTTCATCAGCAAAACTTGACCAAGGAAGTCTTGCTGGTTACAGTCAGCATGAAATATCATTTGCAACCCATTTTATTTTTGTCATATAACGTATTTCTGAGTGAAATGTAGGGCTGGACAGGACTTTGTCCATTGAAAACTGATTGGATTCTCAAAAGTTTACCCGCATTCCAAATCTAGATGATTTTTTTCCCCAATAATGTCCAGGCAGCTGTTTTCCATATAAAGAACATGAATGAGAATTGGGTCTGTAGTTCACCAGAATTATTTCTTTAATCATCTGGTTCTTGAATTCAGTGGACTGACTCCCTGATACCAGTTGCAATCACTGGACTGGAAAGGAAGATTATCAGTGAATAATAACGTGGATTACTGATGGGCTACTTTTATGATGCTTTTATGTCAAGTTGTCCTTATGACTCATACACTATATTCCAATTGACTGAACCATTGAGTCACCTGAGAACTAAATCAGTCCAATAAATGAATCGTTCCAAATGTTTGTGTGAACTTGATTGTATAAAATACACTGAAACTCAAAAGAACGTTTTGCTCACAAATCAGATATAATTTTGAAGCTTGACAGCCCCAGTTGTCATTCACTTTGATTATATGGAAAAGGGTGGCTAGGATATTTCTTTAAACGAATGAGCATCTTAAGTGGATGGAGTATGAGCAGAGCCAGACCAGTGGGTGAAATTTACATTACTTTGGGGACATCAACCAAAAAGGTTTATACGATTATAAAGACATTTTTTCATGTGCACTGATGAGTCATGCAGAAGAATGCACCATAAGCCTAGAGATGTTTATTACGCATGTAAATAGGGTCAGTTTTGATTTCATGTTGTGTTTAAGCTAGTTCAGACTCCAGGGTTCCTTGCTCAGCACCAGCATCCAAAACACATCATATGATGGTGACCAGCTCTACTGGTCTTTTCAGCAGGGAAGTATAGTAGTATTCAACAGGCCTCAAGTTTTATACTATCGCTTCGAATTCTGACTGCCATTGATAGTAGTTCAACAAGTGTCAGTAGTTAACAAGCCAGTGTCGTTGTTTTCCATTGTGAATCAATCAAAGAGTAATGTAATTTCTCAGCCTTCATCTCCATCAGGGGGTTTCACCTCTACTAAAGCTCGGTCTTTGCCTGAATGCGGGTTGAATAGAGCCACTTCTTCTCCTGAAGTTGAGTGATGACTGTGCAACGTCTGAATGGGGCACCTTTGGGGATCTTACATTGTTTGAGTCCACTGATAAAAGGAGTGCTGAGAAATGTCAGACATCCGGAAATGAAAGACAAGTTTTGAGCCGGTCAGCCCTGAGAAGCATTTCACTGACCGCTGATAAGTATCTAGGGCAGAGCAGTATGAAAGACATCAGTGTGGCCAATCCAGCCCTTTAGAAGACCATTCAAAGTGTCTTAGCCTCACCAGAGCCTTATGCCTGGATTTCTCTTCGAGTTTGCTGCTGGTTTTCCTCTCCCACCCTCGACAGATCCTTAGTGAAGAATCTATCGCATTTTCCCACTAAGGTCCCAGAAGACTGCATTATCCATGTAAGTGGTCTAATCCATGTCGCTAAAAGTGTTTCCTCACAAAAGGAGAGGTTGCAGATGTAAATATCAGGTATGTGTTTCACTAAATTAAAGCATTTACAGCTACCTTTTCTTAGTAAAGCCATTTTGACACAAGCTTTTGAGTCAAGGCTCTTTGTAGAACGGTGTGTGGTGGGAAGATGTAAATGTTTGCATGTTTTTCTCTAACCCATTGACTTTGTGTGCTTTTAACAGTATTATTAACAGGATTATTAACTGCCAAGCATCACTCACTATAAATACCTGTAATGTTCTCTCTGCTCATCATGGAAGGCATTTCGTCCTTCTGGTTTTCTTGATTTGCTAATGTTGTTCTCAGTATTTCAAAGTACAAAGTCGACATATTGTTGCTCACATAAATAAATTGAATTGAGGAACGGTGTCTCGCTTATGCATAAGTGCTTTGTTATGTGACTTTTGTGTTTTGTAACAGGGCTAGGAATAATCAACGTAGCGCATTACTTTCCATAAAAAGTAACTAAGTACCATAATTTGTTACTTTTTTTATGGAGTAACACAATATTGTAATGCATTACTTTTAAAAGTAACTTTCCCCAACACTGGCTATTTTCCATATATTGAAAGAATGGCTGAGGATTGGTGCTTTAATTCATCACAATTACAATGTCCGTACTCATCTGGTTCTTAAAAGTTCAATGGACTCCATGATACCAATTGCAATGGTTATCATATGACTGGAAAGGAAGATTATCAGTTTATCATCACAGTTATGATACTTTTATGTCAAGTTGTCCTTATGACTCCAATTGACTGAATCACTGAGTCACCTGAGAAATAAATCCGTCCAGTGAATGAATCATTCCAACTGTGAACATGATTGTATAATATACTCAGAAAAGATCTAACTCAAAAGAACGATTTGTTCACAAATCAGATATAATTTTGAAGTTTGACAGCCCCAGTCCTCATTCGCTTTCATTACATGGAAAAGGGCAACCAGGATATTACTTTTAAAATTAATGTTCCAAAGGTTTGAATAATAGGTTTGAAATGACATGAGAATGAGTAAATGATGGCAGAATTTTCCTCCTATAAAGCACATTTGCTGTTTGTTCTCTATTAATAATGCTGAGATACTTTAAGGATGAAACAAAAGGAGGAATGTCATGTAAAATGTGAAAACAGGCCAAAATGTCAGCATTTTGAACATTTTCTGACACAATCCAGTGATACTAGCTTCCTGTCTCCGAACTGTTTTGACACCTAAAATAAATGAAGATTTTCTTGCACTTTTGTATAAATAGTGAGTCTGGCCTTCCAGTGTCAAGTATGAATATGGTGAATTGCACATTCCAGAAACGAGATGCATGCTGAAGAGTCATTTGTTCAAAGCAGGTTGTTCATTCATCTTTAAAGTAAGGACATCAAAACAAGTTTTTGTCACTTTAACAGAAGGTGAGGAACATCAAGTAGTGATACAACACTGACAATTAGTGGTGCTTTGCTTAGACAATTTCCACGATCACAATAGCTTATATTTAGGATTACGGACTTAACCTCCTAACCATAAGTATTAAAGTGAATATTCCCATTTGCACTACAGACATGAATTATACCTCAAATTATGCAATATGTTGTGCAATAATAGGTGTGCTATTATGTTACGGGAAAAACACAATTCTGAATTCATTTCCCAAAATTCCCGTCTTTTGTTCTCACAAGACTGAAAATTCTTATTGCGAAGAAAAGCCTTTTCGCGGGTTTATATCTCGCAGTTCTGAGAAGAAAAGTCTCAGCTATAGTTTATAGCTAACTTCTTTTGCACAATCCTGAGTTAAAAGATCCAAATTGTGAGATATAAACAGAATTGCAAGGGGAAAAAAGTCAAAATTGTGAGATAAAAAGTCGCAATTCCCTTTTTATGTTTTTCTGTGGCGGAAAAAAAGCTTTCATTGAGATCAAACTTAATATTTTTGCTTGTAAATCAATAAAATGTCATATCTTTTGACCAGAATATTAATATGGTGGGCTATTTTAACTTCGGTTGGTAAGAAACACACACACACACAATCTGGCAAACCAACAGTGACAACTTGGGCAAGTACCACTCAAATTTTCTTTACAAAATGTAAAAATATCAAATATTTTGAATCTGTCTTCATTCTCATATCAAACCACTTCTCTGAGCATATAAGGTGTCTTTTTAAAACGATGGAAAAACACAAACATCGCTAGAAGGAAAATATTCTTCACAATGACTAATGGTACAATCTTTTGACCTCGCCAATGAGTGTTTGTCTCCATCCTCTTTAATGGTCTTCATTAACTGGCCGTTTACTCAGTATTAAGAAATTAGTCCAGCTGAATGGCCCTGATCAGCCGTGTTCTGCCGCATTACTGCCCATCTTGTCTGTGGCACAGTTTAAAACTGACGGAGAATGGTACAAACCGATTTGCTATGCGACAGTTCTATTTTCAGTGACCTTTATAGGAGATGACCCTGAGGGTTTGGGTAATCTAATTTAGCTTGAATAATATTGCCTGTCATTAGGAAATGCATACAGTCTATTCACCTCCTCCTTCAGCCTTGCATATAATCTGAAACCAATCACCGTTGTCTTTCCATTTGGAAGCTAACGCATTTAAAGGAATCAAATTGTTAACCATTTATTTGAATTCAGAGGAGCCTAATGAAACATTCACGACAAGATGAGATTGATTTTGCATTGTGGCTGTCATGCACTTGCAACACGCTCAGCAAAGTGAACTACACTCTAAAAAATGCTGGGTTAAATATAACCCAGCGCTGGGTTAAAAAGGGACAAACCCAGCGGTTGGGTTGTTTTGAACCCAGCTATTGGGTTGTTTTGACCCAGCGGTTGGGTTGTTTTGACCCAGCTATTGGGTTGTTTTGACCCAGCGGTTGGGTTGTTTTGA